ATTTCACAACTACAAAGGGTGGAGCTGAATGAGACCTCAGAGTCCCATCAACTTTACTCTTAGATCACCATCCCTCTATCTCCCAGCAAAACAGAGGTGGTTGGGGGTGAAGAGGAAGGGAGGTGAGCTCCCGACCTTGGGCAAAACACTTCACTTCCTTTATCTATTTATTTTTGCTCAGTCACCAGGCTGGAGTGCAGTGGCAAGATCTTGGCTCACTATAACCTCCATCTCCCAGGTTCAAGCAATTCTCCTGCCTCAGCCTCCCGAGTAGCTGGGACTACAGGTGCACACCACTTCGCCCGGCTAATCATCATCTTCTTTTCTTCTTTTTTTTTAAACTCGAGACGAGGTTTCACCACGTTGGCCAGGCTGGTCTTGAACTCCTGACCTCAAGTGATCCGCCCGCCTCAGCCTCCCAAAGTGCTGGGATCACAGGTGTGAGCTACCGCGCCCCGCCCACTTCATTTCTTTATGCCTCAGTTTCCCCATCTGTACCTGGGCCAGCACCTCTCACACAGTGGGTGGTGAAGCTGCTGCTGCTGCCGCCCGGGGCTGGCCCACAGTGAGTACTTACTGCATAGGAGGTATTCCTTCTCCCTGCCCCGCAGGCTCTCATTATAATCTTGCAAGTTTGAAGAAACCGGCCTTGCTTGCAACAGAAGATAAAATCAGACATGGCTCTCGGCCTCCAGTCTCATCTCCATGCCCTCAGGGCGCTGTCCTCTTCTGGCTTGTCCCACCTATGAGCCCTCACCATGTCCTCAGAACAGGGCACCCGTGGCTCATTTTACTTTTTTGCCCTTCCTAGCATGGTGTGGAAAGGGGGCAGAGGGCAGGCCTCTTTCTGAAACCACCTCCGGTTCCCTATGTTTCTTTCACGTGGTTATTGTTAAGTCTTAGCGGACGTGTACGGAGGCTAATACTGAGCCGCCAAACCATAGGCGCTCTGCGAGCAGGAGCTGGCTCCTATCCCAGACCCCGGCCCTGTGGCCTGCTGTCCACTCGCCCCTGGTCTTTCTTGGCTGGGACAATAAACCTACTAACGGTATCAAGTCTGCATCAGGTGCTTCCTGGGGAACCAGCCCCGTGCTGGGCGCACACCCAACCCAGCCCCTCTGCCTTCATCTCTTACGTGATCTCATGCAATCATCACACGCCCCCAGGCTCCTCCTGGGCCAAGTCCAGCGGCAGCTGAGTGCGTGTCACCTCCAGCTCTCCTCCCACAAAAATGCTGGCCTTCCAGCCTCCAGTGTGCTTAGTTCACCCCATAAACTCTGCTAATGCTTACCACATGCTGAGCGTCGGCGCCCGTCCCCACCCCTAGCCCCAGAGGCTCCCGGGTCCCGCACCGGTAGACCCTCCCACTGGTCGACCCTGCCCCGAGACTCGCCCACTCCACGGTGGGAAACAAGCAATGTGTCCCTCCCTCCCCCGACCTCCTCCAGCCCCGGCCAAAAGTGACCTTGATTGGACGCTTCTACAACGCCATGTCCACTCCTGTGAACAGGCGGCGAGTTTGCACCCAGTGATGCCTTTGGTTGCTGGAAATTAAAAACCCGATTGCGCGTGTTTGCAATTACGGTAACTTGGCGCATCACCCACAACACTGAGCTCGCAGGTGGGAGCCGGGCGCCTACCGGAGCGCGCCCCCCTCCGCCCTTTGCCCGGGG